TGCGCTTTCGCAGAGTTGATACACGTCATGGAGAGCAAGAAATCAAGAATCAATTCTCACATCATCCAACTAGCCAAGGTGATAAGAGAATACATCAGCCTCCTGAGAATGTTTCTCCATGACATAGGTCGCAAGGTTCCCCCCTCCCCTCCAAGAGCCAATTCCCCCCCCTCCCTCAATATAGATTGGAACACACCATCGTCGTGCTATGTCAAATGAAAGGGGGATTGTGTTTCTGAACGTGACTTTTCCTGTAGAGCATATCGAGGGCTGCAGGAGCAACAACAGGGCAGGAGATGACGTAAATGTTTCCTGCTTCCTCCTCCTCCTCCTCCTCCTCCTCCTCCTCCTTTTTCTTGCTTGTCTCGGTTCTCTTCATCTTTCTCGCCCTCTTCTTTCTCTTCTTCTCAACTCATCAGCTCGCAGCCCTCAGGCCATGCGTGTGATGGTTCAGAGCGTGTCAAGCAACGAAGACCCCAGAGAGGAAAGTCGAAAGATGATGATGATGATGATGATGATGATGATGATGATGATGATGATGATGATGATGATGATGATGATGATGATGATGATGATGGGAAGGAGCAAAAGAGGCTTAGGGTTTAGGGTGGGGGGAGGGGAAGGAGGAGGAGGAGGTTGATGACGTATTGATTCAGGTTTGGCAAAGAACCACTTTGTACGACAAGGCGGACGAGGTGAGAGAAACGCTTTCGACATATCTGATCTCTTGATTCCTGTCCTGATGTCTTGTTGCTGGTGGTGGTGCTTGTCCTCCTCCTCATGTTCTTTCTGCTTCTGCTGATTCTTCTATGCTAAAGTCGCGCGTCCAAGCATCTCTCTGCGACTCATCGTAATTACGAAACCTTGAAACATAAATCTATTTCCTTCTTTCATTCTTCCAGCCTCATCCTCCCTCCCTCCCTTCCCTCCCTCCCTTTCTTCCCTCCCTCCCTCCCTCCCTCCCTTCCTCCCTCCCTCCCTCCCTCTCTCCTTGTCATTTCTAGTTCCTACCGTTGTGTTTCTTTTCATTTGTTGGTCCCCCACCTCCCCGTCCTTTCCCACCCTTAACCTGTGTCTCCCTGTGTGTCTCCCCTGCCTCCCCTGCTCCTGCTCGCTCCTCCTGCCCCCTCGGAGCTTCCTTCCTTCTTCCTCTCCTCTTCTTCCTGTGCTCCATCGCTCCTCTTGCCCTCCCCTACCTCTCTCCTTCTCTCATCTTGTTCATCTTTCCACTCTTTCCGTCCCTATCTCCTTCCTCCGTCTCCTCTTTCCCCTTCAGCACATTGTTGACGTGCATGCCGGAGCGAAAGGAGGAAGAGCGCCAGGTAGTGTTGGTGGGGAGGAGGAGGCTGGAGGGAGACGTGGAGGTCTGGAGCTACAGCAAGAAAGCTCCTGTGGTTGTCCTGCAAGAGAGTGACAACTCTCTTCTCCTCTCCTCCATGATCTTTCCGCACGACTCTACCTTTGCTGCTGCCGGCACCTGGGACTCCACCATCCTCGTGTGGAGCTTGGCGAGCGGGAGGGTCGTGAGGAGGTGGAGGGCACATGATGCAGCTGTGCTGACGCTCGACTTCTCGCGTGAGAGAAGAATGCTCGTCAGTGGCAGGTTGGACCCTCCTCCTCATATCATTATCATCCTTCTCATTCTCCTCCTCCTCCTCCTCCTCCTCCTCCTCATCATCATCATCATCATCATCATCATCATCATCATCATCATTCTCCTCCTCCTCCTCTTCCTTCTCTTGACTGCCTTGTGACAAGTCGACAGCGAGGACTCGATGATTAGACTGTGGAACTTCGATACTTCTCTTGCCTCTTCCACCTCCAACCGCCTCCTCCTCCCGCTCGAGCGCGAGTACAAGGCAGACGTCTCAGCTGTCCGCCGCGTCAGCTTCTCTCCGGGCGGAGACTTCATAGCGAGGTACGGGAAGAGATGGAGAGGGAGGGGGACAGACAGCAGGGAGCAGGGAGCTGGTTCAGGAGGAGGAGGACCAGGAGGAAGAGGCAGAGGAGGAAGAGGTGTAGGTGGTGTAGGTGGTGGAGGAGAAGGAGTTGTTGGTGTTGGGCGAGTCTGATGAGAGTTGCTGCAGCGTCGGGGACGAGGGACGAGTCAAGGTGTGGAGGAGCAGGAGGGAGGATCTTCTCTGCTCCTCAGACCCTCTTGGCTCGCTGCTCCTGGACGTTGCCTGGTCGCCGGACGGCAAGCTGCTCGTCGCCTCCTCCTTTACAGGCTCACTCTTCCTGTGGAACTTCGACGGGGAGAGAATGAGCGGCCAGCGCTTGCTAGGAGAGCACGAGACGTCTGTGAGCTGCGTCAAGTTCGATCCGATGAGAAAGGACGTCGTAGCGAGCGGAGGGTGGGACGGAGAGGTTGTCTTGTGGAATGTGGAGAAGGGAGAAGAGGAGGGACGATTCAGAGGGAGTTCGACAGGAGTCTCGAACATCTTCTTCGCTTCTTCGTCGCTTGTCTTGAGCGTGGATGAGGAGTTTAATGTTTCAGAGCATACCAGAGCAGCGAGCAAGTGAGATAGTGGTGCATCCTCCTCCTCCTCCTCCTCCTCCTCCATCGTTGTCCCTCTATTCTGCCTTGGCCGGCAACTTTCCGCTCTTTCTCAGCCTCACCTGCAAGAGTTTCCTCATCCTCCAACACCCTTATCACCCATTCCCTCCTACCTCGTGGTTGTACACCCGCGCCATGTTCACCTCGGTCGTCGTGATCTGAATCCCCTCAGCCCCTCGCTTGCTCCACTAGATGTCTCACCTGATCGCGCAGAAACAGCAGCTGCTCTTGGATCCGCTCGAGGTTGGTGGAGGCTGCGCGAGCCCCGTCAGGGAGAGGAGGGGGGAGACTGACAGCAGCTACCTGTCCCGAGGTTGCCGCTCAGCAGATTCTCAGCTTCATCAAAGCTGGATGGCAACGTGAGGAGAAGGGAGACCGGGAGGAAGAGGAGGAAGACAAAGAGAGGAGGACGAAGAGGAGGAGGAGGAAGACAAAGAGAGGAGGACGAAGAGGAGGAGGAGGAAGACAAAGAGAGGAGGAGGAAGAGGAAGAGGAGGAAGACAAAGAGAGGAGGAGGAAGAGGAGGAGGAGGAAGACAAAGAGAGGAGGACGAAGAGGAGGAGGAGGAAGACAAAGAGAGGAGGAGGAAGAGGAGGAGGAGGAAGGGCAACCTAAACTCCATCATCACGTTGGCTCCGAGCCAGAGACAGACAGTGTCTGTCTTCTTCAGCTTGGCTTTTGCCTGCGGGGAAGGGGGGGGAGAGTCAGGAGGATTGAGAGCAGGGAGTGAGGAGAGGAGCAAGGGAGGGAGTAGGAGAACCAGAATGGTGGGAGAGAGTTCGAAGTCGGTGAGGCATTCTTCATCGCCAGTCGACTTGGTCTTAAGGAACCTGAGGGTCGTCAGAGTCGACTCCCTCTTGCCCTCTCTCGCCATCTCACTTGAGAGCTTCGAGCGTCTTCTTGATCTCGGGGATCTTTCCTGAAGAAGCTTCAGAAGAAAGCACAAGCAGCAAGGAGAAGAGAGAGGAGAACAAGCAAGCCGCTAGTTGGAAGTGGATAATGGGAAGAGCAGAAGGAAAGGAGCAGGAGCAGGAGCAGGAGCAGGAGCAGGAGCAGGAGCAGGAGCAGGAGCAGGAGCAGGAGCAGGAGCAGGAGCAGGAGCAGGAGCAGGAGCAGGAGCAGGACAAGGTCAAGGTCAAGGGGGAGCAAGAGGAAAACCTTTCAAATTTGCTTTGCTCTGTGAAAGTCGAGATTCAATGAACTTGTACCTGAAGGAGCAAGTTCAGCAAAGCAGGACAGAACTCAGACTTCGTTCTCTCTCACTTGCTGTACAGGTCCTGCAGTTTGGCCAGCGCTTGCTCGTGGTTGGACTTGGTGCTCTCGAGATGGTTGTCAACATTTTCCTATCCCATGAAGTTCTCAGTCGGTCGCCATGGGCTGAACAGACAAGTCAACAACGCTAGGGGGTCACTCACGATGAAATCAGCAGCTGGGATGCCTCCTGGGGTAGTCACAGTCTTCTCACTATAGCAGGCAGGAGAGTCAGAGCAGCGCCGTCAGCCTCCGTCAGCCGGACCTCATGATGTCCGGGACTTGGGTCAAGAGGACCGACGATGCTCCAACAAGGGCTGCTGGGAGAGGGTCAGGAAGAGCTCGGAGCTCGCGGGCACTCATCCTCACTTGAGCTGACCAATACAAGGATTGAGACGAGACGACAGGACTTGAAAGATCTGCGGACTTCTCACATCATGAAATAACTCGCGAACTCTCAAGGGTGTTTGCTCCTTCCTCTCACTCAGCCCTCCACCTACAACTCTCAACTGATCCCTTTCGGCTATGATGGTCGTGATCTCTCGCTCGCTTGCTCGCTGCTCACTCCATCCCTCATTGTCCTCCACTTTTCGTTCATCCACACGATCATTGCACCGAGATATCTCATTCCATCACTCCATTGAACAAACGTCAAGAAAACATCGAAGAATCATGAGCCCCTGACATTGAACAACATCATGTGCTCTCGATATCTCATCTCATCTCTCTCATCTCTCCTTTACTCTCTCCTCTCTCCTCTCCTCCTCTCTCCTCTCCTCCTCTCTCCTCTCTCCTCTCTCCTCTCTCCTCTCTCCTCTCTCCTCTCTCCTCTCTCCTCTCTCCTCTCTCTTCTCTC